TCACTTCCTCTCCTCTCTCCTTGTCCAGGTTTGCCCTGGCTGTCCCTTCCACCAATGGCACTAAGGTGTTTGTGTGGCTTGTTCCTTTACTTCCCTCATCCTGCGGTCAAATGCCCCGCTTTGTCACACGGTCTTCCCATCCACCCACTGGGGGTCTACGTGTTTCTCCAACTTTTCTTCTGCCGGTCCTGCCCGGCACAAACGTTATCCAAGCTACACTATGTGTCCCTGTGACATCCCCTGACCATCTGCTTCCTGCCTTCGACTCTGCTCATACGCACAGCGACTTTGTGCAGTGCCACGTGGAGGCACACCCAGTGTCTGGCACCTAGAGGTGCTCACTAAATACTTACAGAACGAACAGAGTTGTCTAAGGCTCTCTGCTCTGCTCCGCCCCCACTTAGGACTCACCGAGGACACAGCTGCTTCTGCCAGACTTGAGCCAGGCAGGCCTGCAAGTGACAAGATCTTCTGGTTCCCAGCCCCATGTGTGGCCACCAGCCGCCTCCTGGCATTCCCTGTCTTTGTCGTCAGTCAGCTTCCGTGGCCTTTGTGTGGACTGTGCCTCTGCCCAGTGGACAGCCCTGCCATCTCCTGGCTGACAATTTCCCCTTTGTATTTCCATGTAGGTAACATCTGCCACAGGCAGCTTCCCTGATTCCCACATCAAGAGTTCTTTCCTGTTCTATGCTCACACTGCCCAGTCTTGTTAAGAGCATACCAAGCTCTCCTTGCTCATTTCCTTTACCACAAGGCCAAAGTGGGCAGGGAGTAGCCTCCAAGCCCCAGGCCCAGAGTTAAGCCAAGGCTTAAGTCAGGAGAGTTGCAAGAGTCGGTGGAGGGCTAACACCCTTGGCTTCCCTTCTCAGCAGCTCGATTCCTTTTGAACTCCCAAATCCTCCGGGCCCTTCCAATTTTTTCACCATATGGAAGAACAGACTCAATGACGGGCACCCCCAGCATCACTCCAAATGGACTCAGCTCAACATCTCCTATTTCCAGGTGATGGAGCATGATGCTAAAAAGGAGAGAAGGACGAGGAGACAAAGAAGAAAGAAAAACTGGTTTGCTCCAAAGATAGAATAAGCACCTGCTGCATAAGCCTGAGTCCATCCCGGGAACCTGCTGCGGAACAGGGGGACCCGGGACCCGCTGCGGAAGAGGGGGACTCTGGGAACCACTGTGGAAGAAGGGGACCCTGGGACCCACTGCAGAAAAGGGGTGCCCAGATGCGCTATGAAAGAGGGGGACCCTGGAACCCACTGTGGAAGAGGGGGACCCCGAGACCCACTGCAGAAGAGGGGGACTCTGGAACCTGCTGCGGAAGAGGAGAATCATGGGAACCACTGTGGAAGAGGAGAATCATGGGAACCACTGCGGAAGAGGAGAATCATGGGAACCACTGTGGAAGAGGGAAATCCTGGGACCCACTGTGGAAGAGGGAAATCCTGGGACCCGCTGCGGAAGAGCGGTCCCTGGAACACTCTATGAAAGAGGGGGACCCCGGGACCTGCTGCGGAAGAGGGGGACCGACTCCAGAAAGCCACGCTCTGACTCCCACGGTATGCTGTTCCACATGCACATGATCATAATGAAGAAAAATTCATTTAAAAACATTTTATTTAGCTGAGTGTTGGTGGCGCACACGTTTAATCCCAGCGCTCGGGAGGCAGAGGCAGGCAGATCTCTGAGTCTGAGGTCAGTCTGGTCTACAGAGTTAGTTCCAGGGCAGCCAGGGGTACACAAAAAAACTCCTGTCTCAAACAAAACCCACACAAAGCCCTGTATACAGTATGTGCAACACACAAGTGACAACAGTGGAGAGAATGCATTGAGCACTTACTGTATGCCTGGTGCTTCCACCTTATTTGTCTTCTCCACAAACAGCTTTAGAAGGTGGATGTTATGATGGACCCATCTCACAGATGAAGAAACTGAGGCACAAAGAATTTAACTTGCCTATGTCACCCACATAAGAAGCAGGGACTTGGGACCTGCCATCTGGCTTCCAAGTTGTATCTGATAGCCACTACCCGTCACTAGGCTAGGACAAACCACCAGCCTGACCAATGCCAATGGATTCCTTCCCAACAAAGAAACAAGTAATGGTGAGAAGCCGAGAAGGGAGATTCATCTATTGGAGGAGGGAGAGACAAGAGGGTGTCCAGTGACCCCGAATCCATCTTTGTCTTTGGGATCCTGATGTGAGCTTTCTGCTTAAGGAGAAGGAGAATTGGAGCAGGGCAGGAGGCTCGTGCCATAGTCACCCTGGGCAGGTGGCCGTGGCAGCCATGGTCTCATCTCAGTTGCGGTCCTGAAGGACGGTCCTGTAAAGAGAATTGCTGTCACCTCCCCAGGGGCACTGTGGTTCCGGGCACTGTGGTTCCCCTGAGATGCTCACCGCTACTCAGGTGCAGACTCTGACCATAAATAACTCCATCACCTGGGGTGGCTTTGTCCCTCCCTTGGGGGTAGTTTCAGGTTCTTGATATGAAGATGTTTATCAGTCCTACTGTTCCCGGAGCCCAAGGTGACTCAAGAGGAAAGATGGCGGAGGCAGACTCGGAGCCATAGAGGGACCAGAGTTCTCACAAATGCCCATGCAAGCCCCCCCTGCATACAGAGAACATATCTCACAGACATCACGTACCAGTTGTCATGTAAACACTGCCCCCTTGCTCATATGTCATATGTATACATGTATATATACCCAGAGTCCACAGACATGGATGTATGTAGGGACATAGCATGAATTTCATCATACATGATTAACAGGCCAGCCAAGACACATAGGCTCACATGTCCTCATCCACATGCCTACATAAAAAATGCAGAACCTCCATTCACTCCAGCTCACACACGCACAAGAAGATGGCAATATGCAGAGGGGCCTGTGTGCACACTTTTACATAAGAACAAGTATTCATGAAGACCCATTTTAGGCCCTGTGATATGCTAGGAGCTGAGAATAATGCATAGAAACAAATGGAGATCTAGCCTGCATGATCTTTCCTGAGACAAGATGTACAGACAGTGGCCAAATCCAAGAGAGCCCCCACTTCCTATATGCTTCCTCTGCACTCAGAGCTGACTTTGCTGTGTATCAAGTAACTATGACAACCTCACCCATGTCACGTACACACATGAGCATGCACAATCCTCTCTCAGAAGCCATTGTAGCACAACTGGGCTCTGGGAATGAGTGGGTGGTGGCTTTACTATACAGAGACCAGAACCATTTTGAACTCCCCATGTTACCCAAGGACCCTGAGCCTCTATCAATCCCCTAAGAGTGTACCACGATCCTCTGGGTGAGTGCCAAGTGTATTACAGATAGGGCCGTGCCTACGTGTGCACAAGTGTGCAAGCTGCTTGGCATGGCCCCTCCCTCCCAGGGCCTCAGACTCTCCCTGCTCTCTGCCATGGTCCACAGACACTGGGCCTCCTGAGAACGGGTGCCCACAGGGAGGCGGGGATGTGATGACTCTGCTTCCAGGCAGCTGTGGTGAGTTTCGGCAGAGACTCCCTTCCTCACAAAGGCCCTGCTTTACAGAAAGCACTGGCTACCGTGGTTTCCCCACATCAAAAAGGTCAGACTCTAACAAATTACTGAGAACTGTCTGTCAATCAACAAGCAGTTACTGATAGCTGTTGCTCACACGCTGGGGAGGGACCAGGGTGAAGGAACCCAAGCCGAGTCCCACAGAGAAGTGGCCAGGCAGCAGGAATGCATGCCACCGCAGACTGAAGCAACCAAGTTCGTGGTCCCAACTGGGATGTGCTGCGAGGTGACAACAGAGTAGCTGACCCTGGGATGTGGTGCCGGATGGTCCATCACAATCAACATCAAGGGGAGTCGGGGGACACAGAGCCACACGGTGACAAGGCCAGAGCTTTGGTTCCTAGGACAGCATGGCACCCAGTTGGATGGGGCAGTGGTGTGACTTGCTCTTTCACCAAGGGAGCACCCACATTGTGCTGGGCTCCTTCTGGGGCTGATAAAGAAGCCCAGGCTTGAGAGACCCAGAAGAGAGACATCTGACCGAGGCGCAAGAGTCTCCTGAAGGTGGTGACATTTGAGCTGAAGGGTGATGAGGTCATTCTTTCAGCCCCAGGGAGAAGCTTGTAGACCACATGAACCATTTCCAGTTAGCAGCGCGTGTGTGTGTGTGTGTGTGTGTGTGTGCGTGCGTGCATGTGTGTGTGCGTGCGAGCGTGTGTGTATGTTTCTCCATTCACCATCCATGTGTCCTGGTGCACACGTGGAAGGATTTGCAAGAACCTGCTCATGGAAACCCCCAGACGATCTTCTGGAGATGTCATAAATACCGTTAGCCCCATGAGAAAGCCACCATGCCCTCGATATACCTGCTCTGTTCTGCCTGTCCACCCCTTTGCCTCGAAGCGTCTCAAGTAGGTGCAGATGCGGATGGTTTTGGGGGGTACCCAGCCATGTCGAGTCACTGTCAGTTTAGTTCTGGGTTTAGTGAGTTGTTAGCATGAAAAGTGATGGGTTCCGCTAAAGCCCCTTCCACTCCTTCCCAGCACAGCCCTTCACACATTCCAGCTGTTGTCTGGGTTACCAACAATGTCAGTCAGCCAATCAACAAACATTGGTGAGAATGTTTATGTCTTGGTCTGACTCAGGGATGAGCGGCTGGAGGGACCCTTATTTCCATTTTATTTTGTTTTACTGAACACCTATGCTAGCCTGGTCCTGGGCTAGGGCCTGGGATGAAAATAAGAATGAATCTCAGCTCTGGTATCAAGGAGGTTACTAAAAGGTGAACAGGAATCATGCTTTCTATGTTTTAAAAATATTCCATTATTCAAGGATAAAAGAGCCCGGTGTGGGTGCTCATATCTGTGAGACCAAGCCAGGAGACCAGAGATCCAGGCCCTGGGGTGAACCCACTACTATCGCTTGACTAAGTGGACATTGTACTGCGGCACGCCGCTCCGGCCAGCAGAAGAGACGACCACAACAGGATTCTTCTCAGAACACACTTTATTGGAGCACTTACACTTGAGGTTGTAGAGAAGCAAAAGACCCCGTCCCCGCGAAGCAGAAGAATATATACGGTGCCAGACAAAGCCCTGACATGTCATCAACCCAATGGCTCAGGCCAGAATGGAGTGATCGTGCTTAAATTTTGATTGGCCAGATCAGATGGCCAGATCGAAAGACTCCCCGCGCTGGGGGGAGCTCGCGCGCATGCGCACAAGTTGTCTGTCAAGTTTGACGTGGAAAAGCAAACGGCGCCCAGGCTCAGTGCCCACGACATGACAGCGCCATGGCTCATGTTACATCGCCGCGCGCTACATCTCCATGCACTACATTGTACCAAGCTGACCTCTGAATTCACATCTCTCTACTGGTACAGCTCATCAGCGAAGTTTCTTTGTGTAACAGTGGACACTGGTGAATGCCAAAATTCACAGTTGATCTACATGCAGAAAAGGTTAGTGGAGTGTTCAGCCCAAAATGGGACATCTATACTGCACCACCACCTCCTCCTCAATCGCAGGGACCATTGAGGGTAAGGAGGAGGAGAAAATCATAACAACCAGAGGCTGGGGAGAAACGGTGGAGCCGTGTCTTTCGGGCACTGCAGGACTGCGGCTCTCGTGAGTTCAGAGCAGCTGCAGTTGCCTGCAAGAGACAGCACAAGCTCACTTCAGTCAACAATCCAGCACAGAGTGGGAAGGGGTTTATGAGTCCCCACCCCTAGCAGAGGAGCCACTGCCAGCATCTGAGGGAGGGAGGGTCAGTTTTCTTTAAGGGCGTGGCCACTGGCAGGTCAACTATGCTCCAGAGGATGGCCCCACACCCACCAATGTTTGGGCAGCCCAAAGTGGACTCCATGAGTTAGAAAGGAGAGAGAGAGGGAGAGAGGGAGGGAGGGAGAGAGAGAGAGAGAACATGAAGTTAGGTAGGGGTGAGGGTGAGAGGTAGGTCTGAAAGGAGTTAGGGGAGGGAGTTGGGGGTAAATATGATAAAATGGTAGCATAAATATGCATGCATGCTTTTCTCAAAAAATAATACAAATGTTCTATTTTTAAAAAAAGAACTACAGACTAGCCTAGGCCACACAGTGAGACCTTGTTTTAAGCAAAGAAGCAAAAATAAAAAAAAATTAATAAATGATAAAAGAGGGATGTGCACTTGGAGAGAATATTTTGTTCTGTTTTCAAAACCTCAGAGGGAGAAATGATGGAGGCTGGGCCTGAAAAGATGTTCTGGTTGTTGGGGGTGGGGAGCATGGATGGTGGTACTCCTAACTGTTGATGGTATTGTCCTGAAGTTTTATACAGTGATGGAAAGGTCATGGCAAATATACTAAAGCCAGCTGGGCTGCATGTGTGTGCGAGTGTGTGTGTGTACATGTGAGCTCATGTATGTGTGTATGCATTCGTTCATGCATGTGTGTGTGTATGTGTGCGTGTGTGCTTGTAGCATGTGCATACGGAAGTCTAAGGTCAATGTTGAGCATCTTCATCATCCCTCTCCACAGTATATTTTGAGACAGATTCTCACTGAATCTGGAGCTACCCAATTCTGCTAAACGGACTGACCAGCAAACACCAGGGAGCTTCCTGCCTCTGCTTCCCAAGAGCTGGATTGACAGGTGCCTACCTCTGGATCCAGCTGTTTTGCATGGGTGCTGGGGACAGGTCTCAGGTCTGCAGCCTCTTCTAGCCAGCACTTACACTGACTGAGCCATGTCCCCAGCTCTGGGGTGTATGTTTTTAATAGTTAAAATGGTACAGTTTCTGCTACATGCGTTAGATCTTGATGAATGATAACCTCCTGCCTCCCTGCGTTCCATTCTGTGGTGGCAAGGTTGTGTGTTTGTTTGTCAGTCAACGTGACACAAACTGAGGCTACCTTGTAAGAGGGAGCCTCAACTGAGGAATCGCCTCCATCAGACTGTCCTGCATGTTTGTGCAACATTTTCTGATTAATGATGGATGTGGGAGGGCCCAGCCTTCTGTGGGTGGTGCCAGCCCAGGGCAGGTGGTCCTAGGTTGCGAAAGAAAGAAAGCTAAACAAGCCGCAAGGAGCAAACCAATAAATGTGCTCCTTCATGGCTTCAGTTCTTTCCTCCAGCTTCCTGTTCTGAGCTCCTGCCCTGGCTTCCCTGGTGATAAACCTTTTTCTCTCCAAGTCACTTTTGGCCAGAGTTTTATCACAGCAAACTAACACAGATTCCTGGTACCCCATAAACCCACAAGGTGGCATACGTCCATACTCCCAGCACTCAGGAGGCGAAGGCACCAGAAGAGAAGTTCAAGATTATCCTTTGTCACATAGGGAACTTGAGGCATCTATGGTAGAAAGAAAGAAAGAAAGAAAGAAAGAAAGAAAGAAAGAAAGAAAGAAAGAAAGAAAGAAAGAGGAAGAGAGGAAGGGAGGGAGGTGGCGAAAAGGAGGGAAGGAAGGAAGGAAAGAAGGAAAGAAGGAAAGAAGGAAGGAAGGAAGGAAGGAAGGAAGGAAGGAAGGAAAGAAGGAAGGAAGGAAGGAAGAAAGGGTCAGTCTCTGTTTCAGTTGGCAGTCTTATGGTTGCAAAGAACAGAACTACTTTGTGTGTGCACATGTGTGAATGTGTGTGTACATGTGTGGGTATATGCTGGTGTTCAAGTGTGTGTGCACATGTCGGAGAACAGAGATCAGTATTAAGTGTCCTCCTCAATCACTCACCGCTTTAGTTTTTGGCAGCATCTCTCGCTGAACCTAGAGCTCATGCCTTTGTCTAGGCTGACTAGCCAGCGAGCCCCAGGGATTGGGTGTTGCTGCCCCCCACCCCGATGCTTAGCTGTAAGGCATGCACTGCCATACCTGGATTACCTGGTGCTGGGAATCATGCAGGCCTCCCACTTGCCAAGCAAGCTCCGGCTGCCTAGCCACTTCCTCAGGCCCAGAACTCGCTTTTCAAGTTGAGTTGTGATGCGCACCTGCAATCCCAGGACATGGGAGGCAGAAGCAAGGGACTATTTCCAGCACAACCCCGGGTCCAGAGCAAGACCTTGAACCGATCAGCAGGATAAAATAAAGTGCATTTACTGACCCCGTGTTTTAAAAGTTTAAGGCTGTGGTTTCACGCGTGGGTGGGCCAAAGGGATGAAGTAATTCCTTTGGAGTGGAAGGCATGGGTTCGGGGATGTGCTTCATTTGCACGGGCAGTGAAGACTCCGTGGGAACAGAAAGTGGTAGTGGTGGTGGTGGTTGGGTAATCATAAGACTAAGCTTGTCACTACTAGCCCGTGGAGCCCAAAGAAAGCCCCTAGTAAGTTCAGTACTAGTTCTGGGAAAGCTCTCAATGGTCAGCTTTACTCACCTCACGTGACTTCCTGTGCTGCCCACTGTACTCGGTGATGAAGGGGTTCTCTGATTGGCTGAGCATGAGTCACATGCTGTTATGCGGAGCTAAGGGTGAGATCGGGTCCACAAAAGCCTTGTGAAGTGGGAGTCACAAGCTGATCCCCAAAGTGGCCACTCTGTCATCAAGAGAACAGACTTTGGCCTGATACCATAGGGTCCCCTGAAGCAGGAGGGCTCTGGAGAAGGGGGAAGGCTGGGCAGAGGGAGGGCCACCAGGGAGGCCGAGAGTCTGAAACTGCAGAACGTGGCAAGGTCACGAAGTAGCCGAGGGTCTAAGGAGTTAACAGGTCATGGGATGGGAAGTGGTGAGCAGTGAGGGAGAGGGAGGTGTGGGTGTGGGGAGACATGGCTGTGGATTGCTTCCTGTGTGCACAGCCACACACTGTGCCTGTGTGATCTCTGCATGTGTCCTTGTGCGCACTCACATGTGTGGGTGCAAAGGCCAGAGGTCAGTTCTGAGCGTTTTGCAATGGCTCTGCACCAGGCTTTTTGAGACAGGGTCTCTCACTGAACCTGGAGCTCACTGATTCTCCTAAACTGGCTACCAGCAGCTTTAGGATCTTCCCACTGCTGCTTTCCTCATTCTGGAGTCACAGGTGCTTGGCACCCTTTGGCTTTTGACATGGGTCTGAACTCAGGTTCTCTGGCTTGTTTAGCTAACACTTCTCCCACTGGCTTGCCTCCCAACCCCCAGTTACACTTTTCCTGTTATTAGTCTCTAGGTTTTTTTTAAAATGTTTTATTTAACTTTATTTTCAAAAGAAACCTCGTCTCCTCAAGATGGAAAGCAGCCTTTACCATAAGCAGGAGGGAAGTGCAGACACCGAAACAGAAACCCACGCTCACTGCCGTGGTTGCTGTACGGTCCTGGTGGGCGATCAGCAGAGAAGAACTGAGAGGGCTCGGGGAGAGAAGGTCAGGGTGCCACACTCAGTGTGGCACCAGGGAACAGCCACCAGACATCTTGGGTCAAGAGAGTTTGGGTGAGCAACTACGATGTCAGGCTCCATAATTCTGGATTCAGGACGCAGCAGTGTGGCCAAAGTCAAAGGCCTCAGCAATGCAGGCCACCTGGGGTGGGGTGGGGTTAGAAGACCCACTGAAAGAGGCAGGGGGTTCCATAACATGTGGTTGTACATGTGACATGAGACAATGACATGTGTCAGTTAGAACACTGATGCGGCTGAACACTAGCTGTGCAAATGCCCAACAGCTCCTGCGGGTGGCTCTGGAACAGACTGCGCTTAAGAGCGACAACGGAGGACACCACCAGCTCCCTTGTCCTCTTACAAGTCACAGGTGCCCTGCTGGGTAGCACTGTCTCTGCCAGACCAGACTCGGAAAAGATTGTAATTAACTTGGTGGGGGAGGAGAGGGCAGAAGAGAAGGGAGAGAGGAAGAGGATGAAGGGAGTAAAAGAAGAAAGAGAAAGAAGAATGAAAAGAAAACGAGTAGGAGGAACAGCAGGAGGCATGGGGAGGCCAAATGGACACCAGCCTCCCCAGTGGCTGAATGAAGGAAGGATGGCCCTGGCTTGGTATTGCAATTTTTATTCTGACTGTAACATTCGCTGCCTCCCTGACAGTATAAACATCCTCATGGGGTCCAGGAACTAGGACATGCCTGTCTTCAGCGTTCCCTCTTCTGCCTGCAACAACATTTAAGACTGCTTATCCATTGCAAAAGTAGCTTTGGTTTAAACAAAAGCACACAGCGTAAGAATGGAGAGGTGGGTTTTGATTCAATGATGCGTCCAACCTTTCCTTCTCCACTGTGCGGCATTTCCACTATCTTCTGCCTCTACACTGTCTCCTCTTGATCACAACATGCCTGGCAAAGCATACATCACAGACAGAGTGGAAGAAAAGTGGCCAAGGACCTTGTGATGCTTTCTCTGCTTAGGGAGAATTGTCACTGAGGCCTGTGGTCCCACCATAGCAAAGGACAATGGTGTGGAATGACTTGAGCTGAGATGCCCGGCTGGAGATCAAGGCAGGACCACACCAAGGTGAGCACACACTACACGGAAGTAAATAAGAGGACAAAGAGGACAGGCTCCAGAGACAGTGTGCCATACAGCTGCATGCAGTCCAGGTCACAGATTAATAACACGAGGGAGGGGCATTCTATGAGGGACTTGATCTGGGTCTGCCTGGCAGGAGCTGGGGAGAAAGAACTGGATCTTTGAGAGGTTGGTGCCCTGCAGGGCCAGAGGCATGTGGGGTGCCTCAGCAGTGGAGACCTTGCCTGCTGTGGGCCTCTGCCTTCATCATCCCCAGCACTGCAAAGGAAAAAGTGAAGAGTCAGTCTGGGCATGCCCCGTGAACATTCAGACACACTCAGCTTAGCCAGCGCTTTTAAAGCTTTAAGCGTGCAAGAACCATTCCGAGGGCCCATTGAAGTGATGTATTTAGTTGGCCTCATGAGACAGGTATCATTTACGGATGAGGATGGGAGCTTAGAGAGGTGGCAGACTGGCCCGGAGCCACACAGCTGGGTATAGTATACCCTGAATGCTTGTGCTGTTCTCCAGGGCAGGAGAATTTGTGGGAGAAAAGCAGAAGATGATGCCGACTCAGGTAAGCTGCGTTGCAACTCTTTGGGCTGCACTTGGGGAGCCCCGGGGAACGCAGGCCGGTACTGGGCCAATGTGGGCCACCAGGGGGCAGCAGGGACCAGGGCACGGCCCTTCCCTTCGCCTTTCCACCTTGAACCCTCTGGGCACAGTAGCCACTGGGTGTCACTTGCTCCTTCCCACATTCCTCCCCGTCCCCGTTTCACTCCAGAGTGGTGACCACCGTGCCTAGGGTCCCACGAACAAGGATGTCGCCTGAGCCCACGTGTGACGTCACGGCAAGTCCGAGACGTCACGGGTGCCTCGAACCCACAGAACACGCAGCACGCCCGTCCTAGGGCAGAAATTTGCCGTGATTTAGGGCGTGTTTTTTCTTGTTTTTTTTTTTTTTTTTTTTTCTCAGTTTTTATTTAATGATCTTCGTGGGAAATCCATGTCAGAAAGGTTTAACAGGGCACGCGCGCTCCGCAGACGCCCACGAGGGTGAAACCAGGATGAGCCCAAAGCAGTGTTTTCTTCCACAGAGCTAAAGCAGATGCGTTCATCGTGGCAGCGGCGGCTGCTGGGAAAATCCCAGCCTTCGGTATTGGGCTGACTGCGCCCACCGCCTGCAGGCACTCCCATCCCAGATGTCATACCAAACCTCAGTTTCTTCTTCTTTCTAATTCTTTCCCTATCCCCTCTAGTTGGAAGCCGTTGGCAAAAGCATACAGAAACAAAACTTAGAAGCTAATAAACAACAGTTCATATATATATATATATATACATATATATATATATATATATATTTGATTTTTATTGAGTCCTGCATTTTTCTCTGCTCTCCTCCCTGCCCGCTCCCCTCCCTGCCCTCTCTCCCCTTCCCTTTAACCCTCTCCCAAGGTCCCCCTGCTCCAAGTTTACTCAAGAGATCTTGTCTTTTCCTACTTCCCATAACTGTTCACTGTAAGCGAAAACTTCAGCTCCTCAGTTGAACCAGCCACATTTCAAGGCACCCGACTGAGCGACGGGAAGCATTTCCTGTGTGGTTTGAATGTGCTGTGTCTCCCTGGGAAAGTTGGCCGGAGTTGAATGCCTTTGGAGACGGATTAAGAGGAGGAAATTACTCACTGCGGTATTTAGAGGAGCATTTGGTAGGCAATCAGGGTTAGGTAAACTCATTAGAGTAGGCCCTGGCTGAATCACAATTGCTGTACACAGAAAGCAGACACATGCTCACATCACATCACACACACACACACACACACACACACACACACCTGTGCTCTTCTGTGGGATGCTCTGAATCACCTGAGGCCTTCCTTCATCATCAAAAAAGGGTGTTTCTAGATTCCACTCTTGACTTCAGAACTGTGAACTGAAAACAAACCTCTTTTCTTATAATTCACTTGGTGTGTGGTATTGGGCGAGAGTACAGAAACAGCAGCCTCAGTTTTCACCTCGGCACACAGGCCTGTGGGGGTGCAGCTGCTGGACCTCGGCACACAGGCCTGTGGGGTGCAGCTGCTGGACCTCGGCACACAGGCCTGTGGGGTGCAGCTGCTGGACCTCGGCACACAGGGCTGTGGGGTGCAGCTGCTGGACCTCGGCACACAGGCCTGTGGGGGTGCAGCTGCTGGACACAATCACTTGTTTACAAGGTCCCTTCTTCAGATGGAGTTTGAGTCCAAGTCCCACTATTATGGATGTAAAATGTTCTCCCACAGACTTGTGTGTTTGAACACTTGGTCCCCAGCTGGTGGCGCTGTTTTAGAGGTGGTGGGGTCCTTTTGATGCTGGGGCCTTTCTAGGAGAAATGGGCCACCGGTGAGCCTGGAAGGTGACAACCACCTCCAGTTCCTGCCACTGAGGTGTGTACAAGCCCCACTGCAGACGACAGAGCCCGTGTGGCCACCATGCCTTCCTCACCATGGTGGACTGAACACCCTGAACCGTACACCAAAGCAGGCCTCTCTTTCTGTAGGCTGCTTCTCTGTCGGGAAATGTAACTAGCACGAACATTCCTGTGTATCCTCATCCTCTTGCTGGAAGTTTGAAGTATAAATTCTGATTTGTGCCCATGATCCGAGAAAATTGAACAACTGTCCATCAGGGAGAAGCTGCCTGATAAACGACTGGATAATACTATGAAGAACCAGGACTAGTGATGGTTGGAACTCACAGTGGGTAGGTCCTAGCTAGCTGGGTATGGGAACCAGGAGGGCATAGGCTGGCACCCTCTCTGTTAAATGACTGCAGGCAGGGGGCAGAGAATCCAATGCCTAAAGCACATAGCTTCCACCCTGGCACCTAAGTTATCAGTGGACACCCATGGGACAAGAAAGAGGGTGCTAATGGAGTCGGCACGGCCACATAGGTCTTAGCAGCTTCCTGGATCTGCAAACGAGGAGTGACGCACAGGCAGTATAAGGGGAGGGCGGATAGAGGACCAGTGGTCTACCCTGGGCTAACTCAGAGACCAGAGCTTAAAGGTCAAGTGCCAGGCTATGAGGCTGTTTTGAGACAGGGTCTCACTACAAAGCCTGAGCTAGCCTCAGACTCTCTGGCTCCCAACTGCTGGGATCAAAACATGTACCATCAGGCCCAGCCAGAAGGAGTTTTTAAGAGGTACTTTACAGAGGAAGTTCCAAGGGTGGGCTGGTAATAATTCCCTGGGACAGTCGGTTTATTCCTGTGGGAGTCATTCCCCTCCAGGATGCAAATAAGAACCTGACTTCTGCTTCTGCCAAGTGGGAGGGACCCCACACAGGAGGTATACCTTGGGAGGCTCCATTTCCTCTCAACTCCTGCCTAGGAGGGTGGTGAGATCGCTCTGGGGAGCTGTGTCATGGCGCACACCTGCAATCCCAGCCCGCAGAAAGAGTGATGTGTCGGAGGCTAGTCTGAGCCCCCGTGAGACCTTTAGAAACATCGTGCTGAGATGTGAAAGACTGAGCTTGGCTTCTCCTGGACTACCTCTCAGCAGGCAGAACTAGGTACACTCAGTATCCAAGGGCACACTGGCCCCCATCATGCCAGGACCCTAATCTCTGATGCTGTGACCACACCAGATCCTTGTGCCTCAAACTTTGGACATAAGCTGCCTGCTGTCCAGCATGTTGAGGTCTTCCTGGTTTTCTGCAGATGCCATGGGCTCATCTCAAACGTGGCCTTCTTCTCTAGGCTTCCCTCGCTGACCTGTCTGGTCTTTTCTTCCAAGCACCATATTCAAAATACAGACTATAAAGTTTTCCCACTGGCCTGCAGATTTCTACCCCACCACTCTTCTGCCTGACGTGGGGCCTGCCGATGCCATGCTACTTTCAGCAACACATAGCAGCATCACGTCCTCTGTGTGCGGAGGAGCATCCGGCATATTCAGCACTCTGCCTAAAGACAAGAAACAGAGGAGGACCCCTGCCGGTGGAGACAGGCCCCCACTAAAGCCAGTGCCAACTGGAGAAAGGTGACCGGCTCCCTCCCCTGAGCAGGCATACCTGGGCACACGCTGTGGCAGCCAGGGCTGGAGGGTGAGGGATGGAACAGCTGCAGCCCCGCCCCATGCCCAAGTCACCCCCCCCCCTTAAACCAACTGCTGGAACCTTATCTTATGATTTCTCGGACTGCACGCCAGCTGCTTTGCATAGGCTGCTGGAGGCCTCAGTGCGTGTGTGTGTGTGTGTGTGTGTGTGTGTGTGTGTGTGTGTGAGATAAAGGAGAACTGACAAGATAAAGAGTCTTTATTGATGTAAGGCTCCACGTGGCCTGGCCTGCCCTCTTTGCAAACGTATTAGGTGTCACAAGGTAGAGACATAGAGACACTGCTCAACCCGGCCCCATCTTTCTAGAACAAGGTCAGACTGCAGTCTGTTGTCTGCTTACCCTGACTTCCTGGCCACCAACCAGAACCAGCAGCCTCCCCTTGGGGTCTCGCTGTGACTGCCAGTAGTGACCACTGTTTGGGGGATCTCCACTTCCAGATTCCAGGAGCCCTGGCTGCAGGTGGGCAAGTGACGGTGACTGTGCGGCTTCAGGCAATCAGAAGTGTCTTGTAGCCTTGGTGCTCTCCACAGCCGTGTTAGCTGGGACAGCAGATTCTGCTTCCTGCCTCAACCCTCAGCAGCTGCTCAATGAATGGTCACCTCGGGGCCAAAAACTGCCCTCCCTGAACTTACAATTCCTACCTAAGCCACTGCCAGGCCAGATGTGAGTTTCTAGGGTCAGCTTCCAGCTCAAGAAGGGTCAAACAGCTGTGAGCCTTGGGCAACAGGTCTATTTGGTGAGAAAAAACTGGGCCCGAGCAGGTAGGGCAGCAACAAGTAGGGGAGCAGGGGACTTAGGACCCTCAGGACTGCTATGGGACACGGCACACTGAGCCCCTGAATCCCTTGTGAGAGGAGAGCTCACGCTAGTGGTGGGGAGTCAAACAGCCTCCAGGCCCCAGGGTCAGGCTAAGTTCACATCTTCAATTCACCATTCTCTGGATTTCTGGGAAACCTGCCAGCTGGGCTGTCTCCCGAGAGGCACTTTCCTGGTTTGGATGAACCCTGGCCTCAGTGCAGACCTTAGCAACAACAGCGTACTAGCTCACCTAAGAAACTGCAATCCCCAGGGTGCCTGCAGACACCTTGGGGGTCTGGCTGGAAATAGCATGACCCGGAGTCTTGCCCTCCACTGACAAGTCTGAAGGTGTCCTGGGTGTTGAGGTGGGGCTGGCTTCTGGTGGCATCTCCCCAGGACAGGATTCCAAAGCTTCTGAGAGGCTCCCTGGGGACGGTGACCTGTCCCCACAACAGCAGCCACAGCAGGGGCTAGCAATCACGTGGATCTGGCCACCTTCGTCCTGGCTATGGTGCTGCTTCAGGTGGCCACACAGGTGGCAGGTAAGGGAAGAGTAGACAATGCCAAAGCTCAGGTCGTCCCCAAAGGGACTGGGCACTTGATCTGTGGGAGGAGGGGCCTTCAGCTTGTCACCTTCTTTGAGTCCCAGCTCAAGGCATTCTGTGGTGCTGCTGGGTGGGACTGAGTTCAGAGGACTGGACGGCAATTCCATGTCCAGTCCGAAGGTGAATAAGGGCATGGACCTAGGGGACTGGTTAGGAACGAGGTTCTTGAAGGGCTTGTAGCCTCCAGGCCCACTGTCAGTCCCTGATCCTGCTTGGAAAGGCTTGTAGCCTCCACGCTCACTGTCAGTCTCCGGTCCTGCTGTGTCTGTGCAGCCGGCACCGCTGCTGAGCAGGCTAGACAATGCCTTGTAACCAGCATCTCCACTGGGCCCGAAACAAGGCACCCTGGGGTCCTGGGTGGCACCCTGCTTCACTGCTTGCACGAACTCCCGGTAGCCACTGGTAGGGGCTGGGGCGGGGCCAGCTGCCCCATGCCGCAGGACGCTCAGGTGAAGGATCTGCTCCCAGCTGTCCTCCTGCTGCACAGATGGGCATTCTTCAGCTGGGCTTGGAGGGTCCCCTTCTTCCAGGTGTCCAGCCTGCTGCTGTTCTGAGGACAGCTCTCCAGGATGTGGAGAGGAGCCGCAGAAATCACTAAAACTACGGTAGGCAGGATTGTCTGTGATGACGAGTGGCACCTCTGCGCAGGCCAGGTCAGGCGCGCTGGGCGTTGGGCTGCCTGAAGCAGGACCCAGGTGTGAAGGCTGCTCTGTGGCCTGACTTGTGGCCTCCTTGGACCCCATGGGGACAGATGCTTGCCCACTTTCTGAAGGCAGAAGGGAGCATGACTCCACCTGGCTCGACTGGCCAATGCCCCCATCCTCAGTCTCCAGCAAG